TTTTGTCACAAACTCTTTTTTACTAGCACTTATAGAACTATTAGCATCATCGTTGTAAAATTGATGAACTTCTTCTACATATGATTTATGACCTTACATTATGCTTGAGGATGATACTCTGTTCTTACCTTGTTATACGAACTTGGAGATATTTATTTCACTATGTCTATTCCTACTTTCTTGCACCTTAAGTTTCTTATTTAATCTTTGTATTGTTTTTCGTTGCCTTTCAATGGTCTTTTTATATTTATTAATAGTATTTATCAATACACATCTCTTTTTATACTCATTATAGCGTATTTTTCTTACTACGGATTTTATAGAAGGAGAATCTTTATGTTATGGATCGCTTAACTTCTCAGTCTTAGTCTGCCTTTCCGCGTCGTCTCTAGCCTCTCCTGAAGCTTTTATTAAAAGAGGTTCAAATGTCGGCGTAGGCGTCGTTTTTTCTTGTTTTTTCATTTGCCTGTACCTATATTAAATTTAAAAAAAATCCTAAGTATGTATTTTCTTTCAAAATTTGCAATTTAAAATAGAGCATTTAGTAAAAATTCAGTACCTTTTGGAATTTTCTCTCAATTTTTTTTGTTGCTCACGTGGAGCGCGAGTAGTTTGTTCCTTTATAGATTTAATTTTACCTTCTTCTTTTCTTTTCTTATACCTTATACGCCTTTTCTCTTGTTCTATGGCTAATAACTCTGGATCGTTTTTTATTTCTAAATATTTTCTCTTTTTACACTCTCGTTGCTGTGCCCGACGGCGATTTTCTACTGCCTTTATGTTCTTCGGTGGCATTTTAATGGCACCTTAAAATAAAAGGGCATCCTTTAATATGAATTATATGTTAACTTAAAAATGTGTTTGATTACGAATCATTATCCTCAACAGTTGTCATTATTTGAAACAAATAAAAACATTATACTCTTTATTTGTCATTATACGCAACGCACATTTTGAAGCTAATGATGTTGGTGAAAATGACAAAATCGAGAAAACTGGTTGCAACTTGTCGAAACCGATAAAATTCTTCTTTTAAACACATTGATATAAATTAATTCACTCACGGTGTACAATAATAGCAAACAATATGATTAATGTGACAATTATTTGCAACAACAGTTAGCAAAAGTATAATGACTCCGTTGATAACAAATTTGTGAGAACGAAATGAAAACTTACCTGGTCAGCAAACACAACGCGTCCACTCCGTTTGAAGCGTGCAGCTCGACTGAGGGAGGTGCGGGGAACGTGCCGCAGGCATCAAACGTAACGTAAAGTAGAAAACCACAGAGTAATAATTGAAGCAATTCTTGCTGCGTATAATGATATTTATTTATGACAAACTTAAACCGTATTGGTTTCCTGTAGTAAAATTAATTAAATTGAGATAGTGCATGGTTATTAGGAAACTTTGATTATTAGGGGATGATTTGGCATAAAAAAATTAAGACGTTTAGTTTTAATTGAATTTTTTACAGAAGAAATAACCAAGCGCAGTGTTGTGGGACATGCGAGATAATGACGTTTAAGGAAGATTTTGGTTTAAATTTTTAGGTAAACTATGTTTCATGTTATTTTTTGTTTTGTAAATAGTTGTGCTGGTAATTAAAGTATACAGGGTGTAAGGGACAGCCCTCCACAAATTAACAGGGTGCATTCAGCTCCTTATTCTGAATCATATTCCAGTGAAAATTCTTTCAGGAAAATGTTCAATTTTTTTTTTTTCGTTTTTTCAGTTCCTACACCTCTATTTCAATGTATAATTACATTCTATGTATGAAGAATAACATTAATGTAAATAACACAGCTAAAACAAAAAAATACGCAATGGTTGTGTGAATTCTCTAAAGAACTACGCATGAAATCAGCTGTTCAATTTCTACCTAGCGCGAGTCGTTTGAACTCACCGCACCGCGGTCACGGCGCAGCGGCTCGGCGCCCCACCGCGCCGATCGCCGCGCCGCGCGCCGTAGGTATACCTACGATCCCGTCCAACGTACAGAATAGCTGCGTCCCTTTCTATCGCCCCGCCTCCGCGTCTCCCCGTCTCCCCGATTCTTTGCACAATGTTTGCCCGATTGAACCAGTGTTGCCAATTTTTAACTTTTGTTACCTCAGGTAGTAAACGAAAATGTTAGAACTAGCGAAATTTATCTAAAACTTGAGAACTCCTTTGCATTCATAATTACGTTGATGAGATTTTCATTAATCAATTAATGAAAATCTTGTCGCGCACATAAATTGAATAAGAAATAAATAAAGATTAGTCTAGTTTTAATTTTAAAGCATTTACAAATACTACCTAATTTATTAATTGATTGTTCTTTTTAAGCGATTACTGGCTAGTTTTTAAACTACTTACAGATTTTTACATGGCTTCACAATAGCCATGAATTGATAGTCGAGCCAGAAATTAAACACAATCATCTCCCTGGAATGGAAGCACAACTTTCTATCACACTGCACTTTTATTATTCTAAATTAACTAAACAATGAAATTAGAATTAAATTGATTTAATCAATTCATTTCTCTACAAAAAACAACAGAATGATAAATTACGACCATGCATAATTTTTTACTTTTTACCCCGAAATTTTGTAATTTTCGTGTAATTGGCAACAACAGATTTATGTTTGTGTGTGTCTCATCACATGCAGTCGCCATTGTGCCTTGCTACGATGTTATTGTTTGTGTACCGCGAGCGTGTGTCGGCACGGATCGCTCGCGCATTCGGCTTAAAAGTTTTGTTATAAGTAGTGTTGTTAAGTTTTATTAGTTATGTAGTGTGTGAAGTGTAGTGAAGTTTTGTTGTAGAAATTGTGCGAAATTACTACCTAGGTACGTTTAGCGCGCGTGATTATGGGGAGATGATAATGTGTTGTAGTAGTGTAGGTATCCTGACCGTCGCCATCCATCAGACTCCAGGATAATTACTGGTGACTATCAACGCTTGCTAGAAAACCAGCCCATTGTTCCCAGACAAAAAGGCGCCGGAAGACCAATACCTACGTGGATTTTGGAATTGGTTCGCTAACGTAACGAGATGCTACCACTTACCAGTGCTTTCCTATTTAAACGTAGTTTAGGTAGGTTTGGACCGCAACCGTGGCCAGCACGATCCCCAGACCTAACCCATTTGGACCCCTTTTTGTGGGGTTACGTAAAAGAAAAAGTGTTTGTGAGTGCGTGTGCAAGTGAGTACGAAATGCGAGACCGCATAACAAATGCTTTCCAGAGCCGGAAACCGGAGCGATTCTAAGGTACCTACGCATTTTTCTTTTTTTATCATTTATCAGTTACCATGTTATGATTGTTAGATTTTTTTTGTAAGTAATGCAGCTATCTTTTAAATAATAATTTATTGTTATTAAAACGTGGCGCGAGCGCGATTATTACATTGTCTTTTGTAAGTAATGCGGCTATCTTTTAAATAATAAATTTATTGTTATTAAAACGTGGCGCGAGCGCGACCGTTTGTCTGAACGTAAGGTCGCGGCGCTGCCCATAGTGTAAAGTAATAATACTAAAAGCGCTGCCGTTCGCTGCGTGCGTTTGCGGTGGTAGCGATACATTGCGTGTAAGGTAATGAAACAAATCGGTTTAATTGGATTCCCATAACGTTCCTGAAATAATTTCATGTACCGGTCAACTTAAGACGATATACTGAATCCACCCTATCAGTTTGCGGAAGGCTGTCCCTTACACCCTGTATTAAAACGCTATTTTTATTAAATATAGTTTATTTTCGAAAAAGTATTCGGACTGGACACGTTTTATCGTCCTTTCCTAAGAATCACCCACCTTTTTTTGTAGAATTGGGTTTATATACACGCGGCATGTTGAATATGGTGGTATGTATCTGTAAATGAAAATAATCACGTTAAAAATATGATTTATTTATCAATGACTAAATCTACAGCTCCATACATTATTAGTAGTATTAAGTTCTATTAACAGTTTTTGACAACCCTATTTATTTAGCTCTATTGACCCCTCATTAGTTGCTATTCAAACATGAGTCGTTTCTTTTAGTCCCTACTAGGTTTCCATTAAACCCATACTAGAGTTCTATTCACCCTTCAATAGATTCTATTGACCCCTTTTATACAATAAATTTACTTAAACTGTGATTTTAACAATTTTTTGAAGTTTAATAACGGATTCTCACTTGCCTTCACTGTATTTTTATAATTTATCGTACACCCAATGAGATAAACACATTAAACAGCACAAATCACAACTTTTTCAGACCTAAAATCAAGAGTTTCGGCAGTTGAATAAAACACGTTCACAGATGGTCGACTTTGAATTTAATTTGAAGGATAAATGTCAATTTTGACAATTATCGAACCGTGTTAGTTGACTTTTGGGGGGGAAGTCAAACAAGGCGGCAAATTCAATTACGAATATTTTTGTTAAATTAGTAATTTTTCGCAAACACACAGTTTAAGACTGCACACTACCTCAAAACTGCTTTACCGTTCGCGTTTGAAGTTGCATATCAATAAAAGTATTCAATCAATCGTGTTGAAAAAAATATATAGTATAGTTGAGGATATACTCTGATGTTCATATGTTGTAAAAACACGATTACTAAAAAAAGTCTCGATACAAAAAATTCACAAACTTCCCTCTTAAATTTTGTAAATAAAAAGCAGTATACAGTTAATACTTGACCTATTATAATGAAACTTTTTAAACAAATCTAAACTAATATAATACGTGTATTGTATGTATTCAATTTAAATTAATGTTTATTTTATTTTGTTAGAAATTTTATACCGAAATATTGCGTGGAAAACTACACGCCCGCGACAGCCGCTGTGTTGGTTCAGACGCGCTCCGGCACTCAGACGGGGAACTTGTGTCGCATCGCATCGTCACGCGCTCTTACGTATTGCCGTGTATTGTTAGTGTATCGTTTTAGTGCAGAAATGGGAAATAACCGAAATACAAAAAACAAAAAAAAGGAGCTTGGAGAAAACAAAATGCTAAAAACATGAATGAAATACGAAAGTAAGTGCCTGCTTTGTCTGATCCTAATAAGTCATAAATATGGTAATAGAGACGCTAATAGAGACGTTTTGTCAACACTAAAATTCCTTACAATAATAAGTAAATCTTGTAGCTAAACCGTAAAATGTATAATGTTATAATAGGTACTTACCTAAATATGTTTTTCATTTTCAGAAATAAGAAAATATTACTCGGCAATAAAGAGAATGTACCGGACACGGAGCCGTGCCCGTGAGTATCACATACCTGCCTAGATAATGTATTTTTTCACAAATTAGGTAATTTTATATTTTTGTTCTTTGGTACCTACCTAGTAGGTGGTTACTGGGTACGTTTGTAGTATTGAATCGCTAGAATAAATATCGTATTGTAACTTTCTATTACTATTATTTATTATAATCACAAAATATATAGGTACAGAAGTCAATCTGTGCTATCGCCGAGCGTAGGTATAAAAAGAGAAAGAACTACATGATACACGAGATTGTCTTCCGTATCTATCTATTTTGTGTTAGCACCACCTAGCACCACGTACAGCCCTGCGTGTCTAAATATTAGGGTAGTAGTCCCAGTTGTTTCCACGATCATTGCTATTTTTGTAGTACCCACCTACCAACTAATATATAAACAAGATAAGTAAATCCATATTTTCTTGTAGGTTGCAAATACCAATGGAGCATACAAAACCAAGTAGTTCAAGAAATGCACAGGAAACTAGTTTTATGACGTTACAACCTGTAGAAATGTAAGTTAACCTCCCTCTAAAACATTTTTAAATACATAATAATATATTTATTTGAATGTCTTAGTTATCGCAGCAACTTGTCATTTTTACATATTTATTGCAAGTGTATTGTTACAGGACACCATTGGAACACATGGATGCCAATACTTCCATAAATGCAAACAATATTGATTTTACGGAGTTACAAACTGAAGAATTGTAAGTTATCATAAAATATTTTACTAATACTCATCCACATTCTAATAAGATTTGTTTTGGCACTGACTGCACGTTTTCGCACTAATCACACCAAAGTATTATAAAGGCTAAAGTTTGTTAGTTTATGTCTGCGTTTGTGTATGTATGTTTGTTACTTCTTCGTGCTCGGATGGCTAAACAAATTTTGATGAAACTTGTAGTACGGGTAGCATGTCCTGGTATAGCACATAGGGTACTTTATCTCGGGGATATTTTTCCTTGGGATAATTTTTTATTTCAACGCAAGCGAAACCAATGGTTACAGTTACTTTTGTATATTTACTTATTTTTTCTTTTTCAGATTTCCAGAAACATTGCCTAGTGACCCTGACGATGATAATACTGGGTAATAAAATTGTATACTCCGTTTTTTTGACATTATCGGTTACATAAAAATATACGGCTACATAAGAATATAGATAGAGTTTTGTCCTTGTCCAGTTTTAGACCCACTCTTTTGAAAGCTCTACGTAACCATCTTTATTATTTTTTTTAATTATTTATGAGTACATAATAAAATTTTACTTGCTAAATATCTGTTTTTCAGGTTCGAAATAAGCTATTGTGATGATGAAGCAAAGCGCAGTTTTTAAGTGAATGGGCGAAGAATCATCGATTTGGGATATTTTTTTAAGTCACTTCAGCAAATTTGTTGTCACAACAAAGCATTTGGGTGTACATTGAGTAATGTCCATATTATTGCAGAAAAAAGAAAAAGCTTACTTTCAAAATTTACGTTAAAATGCGACATGTGCAATGTAAAATTTTATCTTGACTCAGAACCCATATCAAACTTGGATTTAAATAAGGCTGCTACATCAGGCATAATTTCTACTGGGATTGGTTTTTCACAGTTCAACGAACTATTTGCATCCATGGATTGTCCGTCTTTCACCCAAAAATATTACGATAAAGTTCAAAATAAGATATATGACGATTGGCGAAGTACAGCTATAAGTGTGATGGAGGCAGCTGGAAAACGAGAACGTGATGCTGCAATTGCGGAAGGGCGTGTGAACAAAAATGGAATTGCTTGCATTGACTTCATTGCTGATGGTGCCTGGAGTAAGCGTTCCTACAACACAAACTTTTCCGCCCTTTCTGGTGCCGCAGCTATTATCGGGTAAAGGTTTGGTGAGGTCTTGTTTATTGGTGTCAAGAATAAATATTGTTGCATATGTGCGAGGGCTAGCAATAAAAACATCGTTGTGGAAGACCATGTTTGCTATAAAAATTCTCAGAAGACCATGTTGTCTACGGGTATGGAGTCTGACTTACTGTTAGAAGGATTTAAACAGTCAATTTCTATGCACAATGTTATTTATGAACGTATGGTTGCAGATGGCGATTCATCCACATATAAAAAAATTTTGGAAGGCCGTCCTTACCCTGACTGCACGGTCGAAAAAGTGGAATGTAAAAATCATATTTTTAGAAATATGTGTAAAAAACTGAAAGGCATAAGCACAGAAACAAAATATCCATCGAACCTGAGAAAAAAATAACAACCCAAAGAATACTCGCCATAAGAAAAGTTATTTACTCTTCAATAAAGGAACACATTTCCAAAGACGCAGACTTAGATTCTAAAGTTAATTTATTATTCATCGACATCACAAATTCGTATAATCATGCTTTCGGAAACCACGAACATTGCCAGCCTTATTACTGTACTAGCCAGAAAAACAGTGAAGATTTGACTTTGACCTTAAAAACCTGTGCTATATGGCATAGAATAAAGTTTATTGTTAACACTGTTGCGTCTAAAGCTCGAAGTCTTATGCACAATAGTGATAGCAATAAAGTTGAGTCGTTCAGCAGCATTATTGCAAAATTTGTTGGAGGGAAACGTATTAATTTTAGTCTACGTCGAGGTTACGAGTCCAGGTGTGATGCTGCTGTGGTTGCATTTAATACAAAACGACCTCTGTCAACCTTACACAGGTCCATATTGGGTACTAGTCCACGGGCTGCAGTGAAAAGATTAGAAGAAAAACGTCACAAACAACGCATGCGTAAGAGTACGATAAAAGGAAGGACCTTATTTTGGAACCGGCCAGAAAAACTAACCGATAAAAATTATGGCGAAAAATTGTCAAAAACCCGATATGTCAGCTGCAGATTACGACAGATGTAAAGAAGAATTTTTAAAAAGTTTACAGTGTTCAGACGATGAAAGAAGGCAAATAGAAAAAAAAAACTATTTTACAAAGGGACTCTAGTGAATGGCTAGAACTTCGACGAAAACTTCTCACCGCTTCTAATTTCGGGAAAGTAATAAACAGACGACCAACAACAAGCGTAAAAAATTTCGTCAAAAATATTATTTACCCTAAAAGCCTTAGTCACGTGCCGTCGTTAAAACACGGTATTGAAAACGAAGGTACTGCTTTAGAACAGTTAGAAGGTCAACTAAATACCAAAATCGAACCTTGCGGTCTCTTCATAGATAAGAATTTGCCGTTTTTAGGTGCAACACCCGATGGAGTTATAGGTGAAGACACCATTGTCGAAATAAAGTGTCCTATTACAGCGTTCAAAACCTCCATAGAAGACGCCATAAACAAAAGAAAAATAAATTTCTGGAAGAAATCAAAAGACGGACTTGTTATAAATAAAAAACATGCTTGGTATCTACAAGTTCAAGGTCAGCTGCGTGTCACAGGAAGGCGAAAATGTATTTTTGGGGTATGGTACGGGACGTGATAGAGAATTGAAAATAGAAATAATTGAAAGGGACTATAATTTCTGGAAACAACAGATGCAGAAAAAATTGATAGATTTTTATACATTGTGCATGCTCCCTGAACTGTGCGATCCCAGACATAGTCGAAACATGCCAATAAGGGATATTTAATTTTTCTTTTTCTGTATTATATTATTCCGTACTTATAAAAAATGATATTTTGATATTACAAACACAAATATTTCAATGTAACAATTATATTTCATTAATACACATCAATACTTTTCTTCAATGTTCTCTATTATAATTATTTTAACAATAATGCTAATTTTATTTCCATACCCATGCCTATATGGACAGTAAATGTGTGTTTTACCCTATCGTACGCTCGAAACGAAGCGCGGGTGAGACGCGACGCTGCCGCGTTGCGCCGGTGTGACTCGGCCGCGCAACGTACCTACTAGGTGCGAGCGAGATAGTTGCGACTGTAGCTGCGAGTTGACGGACCGTCGCGTGGGAGCATTTTGATTTGAGCTGGGGTAGTGTGGGCTCTTAAGTATATAAAATACGCTTACAACCATGAGCGTCACCAGTGGCGGTGAGGATCTGCTGGATCCGGGTGAGAACCTCATAAAATAAAAAGAAAATATAATAGAACAACCCTAAGTTCCGACTCCACCAATAATAATACCAATAAATATCAAACCTACACAAAACCTAATTATAAAAGATTATTTATAGAAAATAACAATTCGGAATACATTGTTTATGTAGAGTCGACTGAACAAGAGAAGATAGGGAACAAAAACCCTATCACGCTTACAAACCTCATTTCTGACAATGTTAAAGGAGTAGTAGGAGTACATCGAATTAATCCGCACAAAATAGGAGTCACATTCAAAAAGGCGGCAGCGGCCAATAACTTCCTAAAAATGGAGGACTTCCTATGGAAAAACAAATTTAAGGCCTTTATTCCATCATATTTGACAGAAAGGGTTGGCGTTCTGAGATTTTTTCCTAAAGAACTTTCTAATGAAGACATATATAAAAATATAATGTGCGATTCAGAGGTGATAGCGATCAAAGATTTATGAAAAAAATAGAGGGAAAATTTGTTCCACCCAATACAGTTGCAGTTACTTTCGCATCAACTTCATTACCTCAATATGCATACATAAAACTTTTCAGATATGAAATAAAACTGTACATACCACCCCTATTGCAATGCTACAAATGTTTGAAATTTAATCACTCGGCAAAGTCTTGCAGAAGTGAGCAGAACTGCTCTTCGTGTGCTGGTCGTCACTACTACAAAGAATGTGATGTAGAGGAGATCACATGCATCAACTGTTCAGGTAACCATCTTGCCATTTCTCGTGATTGTCCAATAAAGAAAAAGAAAATTGAAGAGAAAAGGGCCAAATTCATGCAACAGTCATATGCCACTGTTGTGAACTCCCCTCCTACACTTAATGACAAATCTTTTCCAGCTCTCCCAAAGATAACAGACAAGGTTTTAGATGTTAAGCAAAATAGCAAATAATGACATTATAATAAATGCAATAGTAAAGTCGTTGGTAGCATTAGGAAATAAGAGTGACTCTGATGGGCCACTCACACATAGGAAAATAAAAGAAATATTTTTATCAAATTTAATTTAATGGATCAACATTTAAATATTTTACAATATAATATACAGAGTAAAAAGAGTCTATAGCAAAATTTATTAATTGAAAAAAATGTAGATGTCTGTCTTCTTAATGAAACCTGGTTTAAGTCTAAGACTATAATTCCACACTTTCCTTCTTATAATTTAATCAACAAAAATTCCATTAACCCTCATAATGGAGTAGCAGTTTTAGTCAAACACCACTTAAAATATAAAATAGTTAACACACACTTCTCAGAATCAATTCAAAACATATGTATTTCTATAGAAACACAATTTAGATCAATGGCAATACTTTGTGTATACAGCCCTCCTAGTATCAGATTTGATTCAGCAAAATTAAAGGACTTAATCAACAACATACCCAAACCTTGCATAATAATGGGCGATTTTAACGCTCATAACATAGCTTTTGGATGCCATAGTGATAATAACAGGGGTAGATGTTTATTTAATATAATTGATGAATGTAACTTATGTTTCCTGAATGACGGTTCACCAACAACTGTTCCTTATCCTAATCAACAAGCTTCAGCAATAGATCTCGCACTTGTTAGTTCTTCAATAGCTCACTTATGTAACTGGTATGTTCATGACAATCCGATGGGTAGCTATCATCTTCCAACCTTGCTAGAGTTAAACATTCAGCCATCCGTGTATGATATGTCACCTTCTGTGGATCAAGAGAAATACATTTATAGCAAGGCAGATTGGAACGAATATTTTAACATTTCAGAAACTTGTTTTTCTCACTTAGATTGAATTAACGGTTCTCCAATCAATATATATCACCATTTCATAGAAATATTAACCGAATTAAGAAACAAAACAGTGCCAAAACATAAACTTAGAGCAAATACAGTTATCAAAAAACCAGTGCCATGGTGGAATATAAAATGTAGCGAGGCTGTCGCTAATTCCAAAGACGCGGAATTAGCGACAGACGACTCTAGGTTGAGAAAAATAATATTTTAATATTATTTTTATTCTGTATC